TTTTTTTTATTTATAATTATACACAAAATTTGCTTTCAAGAATTTTAATTAATAAATAGTCTGCTTAAAAAAATTTTGCATGTCACAGCTCATATTGATTTGCATCATTAATAAATTGTTAAATATTACCATCAAATTGATTCACTCAATTATAAAAAGGCAAGATTTGTGTTAATATAATCAGGTGCTTAATTTAATGGTGACATTCAATAAAATTTTCCTAGTCTTATAATCACTATCATTGATATTTTCCAGTTCCACTATATAAATATTCATCATATATAATCACCAATTATGTTATCAATGTAGAAACAATTGAAATTGAACAATTACTGCTGATAGAATAATTGAATCTTTAAATCAATCAGATCTTAGTAATGATTTAGAAATTTTAGAATATATTAATGATAATTATATTAATGATGATGAATGAACTTGACAGAAAGCCCTTAGATGATGATGAATAGTTCCAATGATTTTGGACAAAGTAAACAATGATAATAATGAATCAGAAAGTGAAGATATTGATGAACCAAAAATTATTGTGACTATTGTGAATGCTTTGAAAGCAGTAAATACATTGATTGAATATTTTGAGCATCAAAATGATTTAGAGTTTAATGAGAATTATTATAAAAATTTAAAAAAATATAAGAAAGGTTGAGAGTATACATGAAGTTGAAACTATTTTGACCATTTGCAGATCTGGTCGAAATAAGGTCAAAACTGATTTTTACTATGTAGTTGCCTCAAGTTGAAACATTGTGACTTTGAGGTTTTATTTCATGTATAATTGAGAGAAAGATTTTTTTCTCAAAAACAAAAAAGTTTAATTTGTAATCTGTGAAACAACTCAAAAATTTGCCAATAATTAATATGTTTTTGTGGCAATAATAAATGTTATAATTTTCAGGAGTTTTGAGAATCTGACATTATCTCACGTGACCAAAGTGAGTCAAGAAAATTATATGACCATGATAATTTTTATTTTAAAAAGAGTAACTATTAAA